GACTACAAGAACCGAGTTCTCACGGGCCCCTCAAGCTCCGCCGGGCGCAGCCCCCACTCGTCGAAAAGGGGCATCTACTTTACGAACACCTCCATGTTCGAGCAGCAATACAAGAGGCAGCCCTCCTTCGGAAGTGTGGCTGGTGCAGGGTCACCAGTTAGGAGCTCGAGCACCGTGCGCAGAGTCTCGGGAGGAAGTGCAGGCGCCTGGAGCCTCATGGGATCCCGGCTGCCAGCGAAGGTCCACATCCGCTAGGAATGGCGCTGGAGTGGAGCAATGCGGCGCTGGATGAACTCCAGCACCACCATGGGCGCCGTCACTCCAAGATCCTTCAACCTGGCTAGCGGCGCCAAACATGGGCAAGCAGGGGGTCGACGAGCTTCACGTGCGCCCACCCAGAGCTAGGTTTAGCCGGTGCCCGGGGGAGCAAGAGCAGGGAGTTGAGCACGCCGACATCCATGAACACCCATCGCTTCCGGTACCCATGTACAATCGGCAAGAGCCCGAAGTCGATCCCTGAGCCCGCCGTCACCACCATAGCTTGGAAGGTCACACAACCTGAGCACTGGCGGGCATCGGTCAAATGAAGCGAGAAGAAATGGCGGAACAAGGCCACAGAGAGAACAATGCCCACCATGGCCTCGCAGACGAAGGCGAAGACGGCAAGAAGAAGAGTGGATTGGGGATCCAAGTGTAGCGCGTGGACTTGGTAATGCGAGTTATGGCATTGAAGAAATCGGAAAAGGGGGGAAATTAAGCCTACCAGGAGGGCATGGAGATGAATGGGGATCTCAGAGGCCGCCATGTCGACCAGGGCACGGGAACCAGGCCAAGCCATCGTCGCACCCACTCATTGGAACTAGCGGTGAGTGCCGGGCAGACCTTATCCAGAATCTCTTGGTTGACCCCCGACGACCGCTAGAGGGCGGGCTCAAAGGCCGGTGGGGATTCGGCCGGAACATAGCGCTTCACTTTCTTCTTCTTTGCCAGCTTCGGTGCCATGACGACAGGGGGAGAGCTGACAAGATGGAGAGGCCAAGAAAGCTCACGGCAGGCAATGAAGATGGAGCTGACCTGATGGCGGCTGATACGTCTCTGTCGTATGTACTTTTCCAAACACTTTTGCCCTTGTTTTGGACTCTAATTTGCATGATTTGAATGGAACTAACCCGGATTGACACTGTTTTCAGCAGAATTGCCATGGTGTTATTTTTGTGCAGAAATAAAAGTTCTTGGAATGACCCAAAAATCAACGAAGAATTATTTTGGAATATATAAAAAATACTGGAAGGAAGATCCATGTCAAGGGGCCTCCACCTGTCCACGAGGGTGGGGGGCGCGCCCCCCTGCCTTGTGGGCCCCCTGACGCTCACCGACCTCAACCCTGACTCCATATATTCACTTTCGGGGAGAAACAAACCAGGGAGAAGGATTCATCACGTTTTACGATACGGAGCCGCCGCCAAGCCCTAAACTCTCTCGGGAGGGCTGATCTGGAGTCCGTTCGGGGCTCCGGAGAGGGGCATCCGTCGCCATCGTCATCATCAACCATCCTCCATCACCATTTTCATGATGCTCACCACCGTGCGTGAGTAATTCCATCGTAGGCTTGCTGGACGGTGATGGGTTGGATGAGATTTATCATGTAATTGAGTTAGTTTTGTTAGGGTTTGATCCCTAGTATCCACTATGTTCTGAGATTGATGTTGCTATGACTTTGCTATGCTTAATGCTTGTCACTAGGGCCCGTGTGCCATGATTTCAGATCTGAACCTATTATGTTTTCATCAATATATGAGAGTTCTTGATCCTATCTTGCAAGTCTATAGCCACCTACTATGTGTTATGATCTGGCACCCCCAAAGTGACAATAATCGGGACCACTCCCGGTGATGACCGTAGTTTGAGGAGTTCATGTATTCACTATGTGTTAATGCTTTGTTCCAGCACTCTATTAAAAGGAGGCCTTAATATCCCCTAGTTTCCAATAGGACCCCGCTGCCACGGGAGGGTAGGACAAAAGATGTCATGCAAGTTCTTTTCCATAAGCACGTATGACTATATTCGGAATACATGCCTACATTACATTGATGAATTGGAGCTAGTTCTGTGTCATCCTATGTTATGACCGTTACATGATGAACCGCATCCGGCATAATTCTCCATCACCGATCCAATTCCTACGAGCTTTCCATATATTGTTCTTCGCTTATTTACTTTTCAGTTGCTATTTCTATCATCACTACAAAACACCAAAAATATTACTTTTGCTACCGTTACTTTTGCTATCGTTACCACTACTATCATATTACTTTGCTACTAAACACTTTGCTGCAGATATTAAGTTTCCAGGTGTGGTTGAATTGACAACTCAAGTGCTAATACTTGAGAATATTCTTTGGCTCCCCTTGTGTCGAATCAATAAATTTGGGTTGAATACTCTACCCTCGAAAACTGTTGCGATCCCCTATGCTTGTGGGTTATCAGCGGCCACCAAGTTGAGTGAGTATCAAGGCTGCAAGGGGAAGTGGGGGTGCCCACGCCCGTCAATCGCCACGCGTCAATCTAGGCCGTAGGTGGCTGGGGCCCGCGGTGCTCCGCACTTGCCCTTTGGCTTCGCCTCAAAGCCAAGCTCGAGCGCGCCTTGGGCCCAGGGGCTACTGTCGGCGTCCTGGGAACATGGTACCCAGACTTGCCTGCCTACAGCCCACGGCGTGGCTCCACCAGCGGCCCGGTATGGCCCAGTTTCAGGAGCACAATTCAAGACCCTCATGAGGGGCCAAGCCTCGCGAGGCGGATGACACCAAGACCTCCCTAGGGGGCGGCCTCACTAGGCCGGCTCCGGAGGAGCGGAGATATCAAGGCAAGGTGCACCTCGCGAGGATCACGTGACGTGAGCCATGACAACCAAGGCCAGGCGGGCGCCAACGGGCGCATCGTACCGGTTTCCCCTTTGGTGCCAAGGGGGCAAGCACAGGCGCGGAGTCTCGAGGAATCAAGCAAAGGTTTCCATATCGGTGCAACAAGATCAAGACCGCCAGGGTGGAGGTCATCGCGGAGCCCACTACAGCGTCACCACCAAAGCTTTTGCAGGCGAAGACTACTTTTGTCAGGATAACTTGTACTAGTTGTCCCCCTTCGAATTTGGTCGTTATGGGATCCCTTCCTGCCTACATTCGGGAAGAGGACCCAGGCCACTATAAATAGGACTTAGCCACCACCGTAGCAAGGCATGGAGAGACCGAGCCAGAAAGAGACAGGTCATTTAGACCCTCCTCTCACCCACCAGCTCATCGAGCTCAAGAACACCTCACCTCCTGAGGCTGTTCAACCACTGTACTAGTTCATCCTCAGCCCCTCGAGGCAATCCACCACAAAGCTGGAGTAGGGTATTACACCGCAAGGTGGCCCGAACCAAGATAAACTGTTGTGTCTCTTGTCCCTTGGGTTCATCGAGTTAAGCTGTGGAATCGTTGGGCCGGCAGGTCGGGGAGTAGGAGCTCTTCGTACGCACCCCGGTGTTTGAACCTCTCAAGGGCCTGCGGAGCCCTGAATCCAACAGCACTCACTGGCTCCTCACCACAATTGCTTGAAGGCAATACCATGCTTGCTTTACCCCCTCTGGCAGTGCCCCAAAGCCCGTATTCGAAGTAAGATCCGAAGAGGAACAAGGTCACCCTAGTAGCGAGAGACAAAGGAAATGACAAGAACAAAAACAATGATGCGTGTTTGGCGGGCTCCCAAGGGGGGCCGCGCCTAGCGCATTGAGTATCCTCTGTTGGAACTATCACGAGATAGGCTAACTCGTGTCTGTTTGACAGATTTGGGATCTAACAAAGCAATTTGCCCCCTTTAATCTTTATATCATGTAAACTCAGTTAGAGGGACATAGAGAAATTTAGCAGGTACTCCCTCCGTAAAGAAATATAAGAGCATTTAGATCACTAAAGTAGTGATCTAAATGCTCTTATATTTCTTTATAGAGGGGTACTTTAGATTACAAATAAAAGCTACGTTGTAAGCAATTTTGGTAGGAGTGGTGACCTTGACATTTTTTGGAATGATAAAATAAAGGTGGAAGTTATTGGTTACTCTAAGTATCACATTCATGTACTAGTTGACGAGATGGTAGAGTAACAGGTATGGCTAACCTTTGTGTACGGGAAATCCCAGGTGTCGGAGAGGTGCAAGACATGGGATATGTTAAGAGGAATAGTTGAGGCTACTAATACTCCATGGGAGGTTTTGGGTGACTTTAGTGAAGTGATACATGCCCACGGACACGATGGAGTTGGTAACCGAAGCCAAGCACATATGGATGCATTTAGGGATGCCCTCGACGCGTGTAGTTTGTGTGATATTGGATATATGGGAGCTAATTGGACTTTTGAGAAGGTTGCTAGAGTTTGTTTCTCCTAGTCATTCTAAAATACAATGGCTTGGCGGACCACAAAAATAATATACATCGATAACATGAATGCACGACTAGTATCGACAATCAAATGATATATGGAGGTTGAAATTCAATCGAAGGGAGAACAACTCATAGGACACAGAGAATTTTCTCTGAGTTGTAGATGTATAGACTAACACATTGAACAAAGTTCAACACATTTCTTCCAGAAAATCCATGCGGAAGTGAAAGATATGGTAAAGTCACAATATAGAACAGACAACTCATTAGAAGCACACTTATTATATTATTATTTAATTATTATTTAGTTTACATTTTTATCCTGAAATTTCCGCAGCAACGCGTGGGGGATTTGTCTAGTATAAAAGATACATTGTGTTAATAGTAAAGATTTCTCTACAATTACTTAGAAGATGAAATGACCATCAATGCCATTATCTATTATGATTTAGTACCATATATTTTATTTATTTATTATTTAATAGAGACCATTAATTGCCTGGACCATATATACATCTCCCGTGCTACAACTTGCAAACATCGACTGATAAGCAAAGAAAATATTTCGAAGCCTTAGAAAATTATTATGAAGAACATGATGCAAACCCGCAGACTTGTTTTGCTTTTGCTGGTGCTTGGATGCTTTACTGCTCATGCAAATTGTAAGTGGTCATTTATAAGGCAGCCAAGTCATTACTTATAATTTCGTACATAGAACTTGATTGTATTTGAAAAATACATGTTCATCTCCTAATTGATTATTTGGCATCTATCTTTCTAATATAGAGAAAAAGCGAGAACTCATTGGTACAGTATATACTGCACCATCGTCAATTTTTTGTGACAAAGCAAAGCTTTTTTCTTGATTCGTAGGCCAAGCTAAGAAGGATACGATGGATGAGGAAAAGATTGTTATCCCACCCCGCCGTTTCTGCTTGAAGGACAAACAACTAATACCACCCACCCATCTCCCTTGGTGTTGTATCCTTGAAGGCGGTCTTTGCTACAAAACTAAGGTTGAATGTCAGATAAACTGTGGATGCTAGATGACACTAATGAAAGATTATGAAAAAGTTGTTTTTGTCAAAACTGAGGAAAAATCTTTGCCACATCTCATTAATAAAAAAGGTAGGTTAATAAGATTATTAGTGTGGTTTATTACGCCTCAACAAATGGAAAACGAAATCCTACTCTTGTGACAACTAATCCTTGTACTCATTCTTGATTTTTTTTGTCCTTTTCTTTTTCCGAAAAGGAGGATTACCCCGGCCTCCGCATAGCATGATGTACATGCCGGGTAACATAGTATGCAATTTCAAAAAAACTCCTATGCACACACAAGATCTATCTAGGAGACGTATAGCAACGAGAGGGGAAGAGTGTGTCCAGGTATCCTTCCTTCATCCATCGTAAGATAACCCAAAACTTGAAAACTTCAATCACACAAAACTCAACAAAACCTTCATGAGATCCGTTAGTGTAAGAAAATAATAAATCACTACTATAAGTATTGTATCAAACCAATTCATATTTTGTTTTTGTATTATATCAACTGCATTCCAACTTTTCTATAGCAAAAACTCATCAAAGAAAACCATAGAGCCATCAAAATAAGCACACAACACAAAGAAAATAGAATCTGTCAAAACATAACAGTCTGTAGCAATTTGACTATTTCAAATACTTCTGTAACTCCAAAATTTCTGAAAAATTAGGACGGCCTGAACAATTTGTATATTGAGCTACTGCAGGTGGAATGGGTATTTTATCGCTCCCTGGTAAAAATTGAAAATTAATTTCATGAGCATAAAAGTTTCTGTTTTTCAGCAAGATCAAACAACTATCAGCCAAGAAGATCCTAAAGGCTTTACTTGGCACAAACACTAATTAGAACACAAAAAACACAACCATAACAGTAGCATAATTGTGCTAACACACAAGAACAAAATGCAAAAGTCAAAAATAAATTTTATTCATTGGGTTGCCTCCCAACAAGCGCTATAGTTTTACGCCCTTAGCTAGGCATAAAGCAAGGATCTAAGTGTTGTCATCTTTGGTTCGAGATCCACAAGATGCCCTCATGATTTATTCATAAGGTGGCTTAATTATAGTTCTAGGAAAGTGTTCCATACCCATCCTCAAAGGAAATTGGAACTTAATTTTGCCTCCTTTCATATCAATCACGGCACCGATAGTGCGTAAAAACGGTCTACCAAGAATAATTGGACAAGATGGATTGAAATCAATATCATAAGAACATCATTAATTCTTCACATAGGCTTTTTAATAGTAGAATCCGCCAAGTGCAAATTCAGAGAACACTCTTCAAGATTAGTAAGACCAAGCACATCACATAAAGATTTCGGAATTGTAGAAACACTAGCACCCAAGTCACACAAAGCAAAACACTCATAATTTTTAATCTTTACTTTGATAGTAGGATCCCATTCATCATGCAATTTTCTAGGAATTGAAACTTCTAATTCCATTTTTTTCTTCAAAAGCTTTCATCATAGCATCAAAAATATGTTTAGTAAAAGCTTTATTTTGTTCATAAGCATGGGGTGAATTTATCATGGATTGCAACAAAGAAATACAATCAATCAAAGAGAAACTATCATAATTAAAGTATTTGTAATCCAAAAGAGTGGGTACATCACTAGCTAAAGTTTTGACCTCTCCAAACCCACTTTCATCAATTTTCTCAACAAGATTTTCACCCTCCGAAATATTGGGATGCCGTCTACCTAAAGTTGACTCTTCTCGAGTCCATTTTTCATCAATATTAACCTTACTAAACAAGGAATCAATAGAAGAAACACCAATCATTTTAAGATCTTCATCACTTTTGCAAAAGAAATCACTAGAAAACGCTTTTTCTAAAAATTCTCTTCTAGCTCTAAGCATAGCGGTTCTTTTCTTGCTTTCATCCATAGAAACATAAATAGCTTTAATTGATTCATCAATCTTAGGCATAAAAAAATTCATCTTGAGATTTTCCACATCATGAGCAATTCTATCAACACTTCTAGACAAATCATCAATCTTACTCAACTTTTCTTCTATGGAAGTGTTGAGAACTTTTTGTGTATTGATAAATTCTTTAATATTGTTCTCAAGATCAGAGGTGTTCCTATTATTATCATAAGATTGATTTCCATAGGAATTACCATAATTATTAGAGGAATTACTAGGAAAGGCCTAGGATTAAAATTACCTCTATATGCATTGTTGTTGAAATTATTTCGAGAGATAAAATTCACATCTATGGCATCACTATTTTGCTCAATCAAAGTAGACAAAGGCATATCATTAAGATCAACAGGAGCACTTCTACTAGCAACCAATTTCACAAGAGCATCACCTTTTTCACTCAAAGAAGAAATTTCTTCAACCGAATAAACTTTTTTACTAGTAGGAGCTCTTTCGGTATGCCATTGCGAATAATTTGCCATAATATTATCAAGAAATTTGGTGGATTCACCCAAAGTAATTTCCACAAAAGTACCAGTCGCGGTGGAATCTAAAAGATTACGAGAAACAAAATTCAACCCCGCATAAAAAATTTGTATGATCATGCAAAGATTTAACCCATGAGTTGGGCAATTCCTTAGCATCATTTTCATCCTTTCCCAAGATTGTGCAACATGCTCATGTTCAAGTTGCTTGAAATTCATGATCTGGGTTCTAAGGGAAATAATTTTTGCGGGCGGAAAATACTTAGTGATAAAAGCATCTTCGCACTTATTCCAAGAATCGATACTATTGCGAGGCAAATAAGAGAACCAAATTTTTGCATAATCACGCAAAGAAAATGGAAATAATTTCATCTTGACCACATCATTGTCCACAGCTTTTTTTCTGTTGCATATCGCATAATTCAAGATTGATAATATAACAACATGGAACAATAAAAAAATTATAGATACGTTGGAGACGTATTAGCATCGCCAAGCTTAACTCCTACTCGTCCTCGAGTAGGTAAGTGATAAAAATAGAATTTTTGATGTGGAATGCTGCCTATCATGTCATATCATATTCTTTTCTTTATTGCATGGATAATTGGACTTTTAGTTGTTCAAAGCTATAATCTAGTTTTGACATGATAATTTAGATACTCAAGCATATCAACAAGCAACCATGTCTTTCAAAATATCAATGCTAAAATAAGTTATCCCTAGCTCATCATGCTTGAACATTGATCCATTCATGAAACACACTCGAATATTAGCTACACCCAATGCTTAAGTACGATGATATTTCCTCCTAGTTGGTGCTTTTATAAGAGAAGATGGAGACTCAAAATAAAAATTGCATAAAGTAAAAGAAAGGCCCTTCGCAGAGGGAAGTAGGGATTTGTAGAGGTTCCAGAGCTCAAAGTGAAAAACTTAGAGATAAAAACATTTTAAGAGGTGTATCCATCCCATCAACGAAAACGACTTGGAGTTCCCAATACTTTCCATGCATAGATATATCATAGGCGGTTCCCAAAGAGAAAATAAAGTTTATTCCTTTTTCCACCATAACTTTCACTTTCCATGGCTAACCGTATCCACGGGTGCCCTCCATACCAACAGTTTCCAAGGAATTTATTATTTGACAACATAAAGTAATTTCATTTTTTTGCATTTCGGGACTGGGCATCCCTAATACCTTTGCCTTACTCTCGTGCAATGACAAGTGAATAAACACTCATCTTGAGAATAACACATCTAGCATGGAAAATATTAGCCACCCCTCACCGCTCCGCGAGCGAAACAAACACACAAAAGAGAAGTTTATTTTGAAAATTAGAGATGGCGCATGCAAATTTGCTTAGAACGGCAAAAGAATACCACATATAGGTAGATATAGTGGACTCATGTGGCAACACTGGGTTAAAGGTTTTTGGATGCACAAGTAGTGATCATACTTAGTGCAAAATGAAGGCTAGCAAAAGATTCAGAAGCGACCAACTAAGAAACAGATAATCTCATAAGCAAACATTAAGCATAAATAACACTGAATAATGCACCATAAGTAGGATATAATTTCATTGCATGACTATTGACTTTCGTACTTGCATAGGGAATGACAAACCTTAACACCATTATTCTTACTAAAGCATAATTACTCATCAAGATGACTCACATATCACATCATCATATCACAAAACTATTACTAAGAATCAAGTTTATTTTGTCCAATGATCTTCATGAAAGTTTTTATTATATCCTTTTTGGATATCTTATCACTTTGGGACTAATTTTCATGTATTGCTTTTGACACGATCCAACAAATATAAGTGAAGATCATGAGCATAATAATTTCTCTTTCTTTCTCTCAAATTAATTTAAGTGAAGCAAGAGAGAATTTCTTGAAAATTTTACTAACTCTCAAATAATTTTAAGTGAAGGAAGAGAGCATTTCTTCAAAAATACTAAAGCACACCGTGCTCAAAAAGATATAAGTGAAGCACTAGAGCAAGTCCATTGCTCATAAAAATTTAAGTGAAGCATAGAGAGCAATTCTAACAAGTCATGACATAATTTTTGGCTCTCTCAAATAGGTGTGTCCAGCAAGGATTGATAACTTAAAACACAAAATAAACCAAGCAAAGACTCATATCATACAACACGCTCCAAGCAAAACACATATCATGTGACGATAAAAATATAGTTTCAAGTAAAATACCAATGATCGTTGGAAGAAAGCGGGGATGCCACTCGGGGGCATCCCCAAGCTTAGTTGGTTGCTCACTTTTGGATAATAGTTTGGGATGCTGGGGCATCCCCAAGCTTAGGCTCTTCCATTCTTCCTTCATCCATCGTAAGATAACCCAAAACTTGAAAACTTCAATCACACAAACTCAACAAAACCTTCGTGAGATCCGTTAGTGTAAGAAAATAATAAATCACTACTATAAGTATTGTATCAAACCAATTCATATTTTGTTTTTGTATTATATCTATTGTATTCCAACTTTTCTATGGCAAAAACTCATCAAAGAAAACCATAGAGCCATCAAAATAAGCACACAACACAAAGAAAACAGAATCTGTCAAAA